TTTAGAATCAGGAACAAATCGTATATCGACCGAGATTCTGAGTATCTCTTGCAAGAAAATGAACCAAATGTAACCTTAGACCAACAATTATTGGAAGATTTACAAAAGAAAAAAAATGACCTTCGGTATATTGAGATGCAGGTAAAGGAAAGCAACATGTTGAAAAAATTTTTACTTGACATTCTTTTCTCACCCTTGATAAAAATGTATATATGGTTATAGGTAGCTGCTTGGTATAGATCAGTAAGATTCCTCAACAAGACATCCTCTGTGGGAATCTTTTTCCTTTTGAATAGGAGAGAAAAGCAATGGGAATGGAAATTACACATAATAGAATCCTATCAACCACAGAAGCTTATGTAGTTAGGAGAAGAAATGTTTCAGAAATACTGGTATAAATGGGAAAAATCTAACTTTTCTAGGCCGGTTTAGTGAGGTACCATAATAGTCAAGCAGTTAGAATTGTAAAGTTTCTTCCAGATTATTTAATACATTTCCTTCTGTTTATAGATGATAAAGTTAAATCTTTCAAGAGTTATATGATGTGCTATGTTCATCAACATTTTAAATATAGGACTGTGACAAGAACTGAAATTTTCCAAAATTGTTCCAATATTTTCTTTCCATGCTCGGCAAGATATTTTAAGGTCCTTCCAATTAAAACATAAAATTTTAGCCAGGTGTGGTGCTCACATCTGTAATCCTAGCAACATGGTGAGACCCTGTCTTGACAAAAAGAAAGAAAGAAGGCGGGGGAAGAAAGAAAGAAAGAAAAGAGAGGGGGAGAGAAAGAAAGAGAGAGAGAAAGAAAAAGAGAAAGAAAGAAAAGAAAGAAAGATAGATTACCCAGGCGTTGTGTATACCTGTAGTCCCAGCTACTGAGGAGGCTGAGGCCGGGAGATCCCTTGAGCCTAGTAATTTGAGGTTGCTGTGAGCTATGAAGACACCAATGCACTCTAGACTGAGCAACAGAGCAAGACCCTGTCTCAAAACAAACAAACAAAAACCCATAAAATTGTGTGCTTTGTGGGTGTTCTAGAGATGTAATAAAATATTCACATGTAGTTATGCATATTTTTAAGAGAAAATACTGAGAATTCTGAGGGCCATGTCTTTAATATGCACATACATACTGCTGTTTTGGGGAAAGGTAACTATCTCATCTTTTGAAAGAAAGAAAGGATCCTTGACTGTCACTGAAGAAAGTCGAATTTCCACCTACTAGAATAGGTGAACTGAGGTTGTCCAGGGACAAATTAAGCAGGTCTTTGATGCCTATCAAGTACAAATAAGATTTGAGAATGGAGGAAATTTCAAGATGAATTAATTCAGAATTTTGTGGTTAAGAGAAGAGCTGTTTTTTCCAAAAAAGAAGAAATATTAAAAACAGTTGGTGATTTTCCTGTTTCCCAGATGCATTTAAAAATGCTTCACATGTACTATATAATATAAACCTCCCAACAACCTTGTTAAGAGAGCATACATGTCTGTTACAGATGAGGAAAAAGAATCTTGGTTAGGTGACCTACTTAAGGATGTGCAATTCATAACAAAGCAGATCTAAAATTCAGTTGTGTTTAAGAACTCAACTTTTTAATTCTTCTTAGCAATGAGCAATATTTTTTCTTTGTTATAATTTAATTAACATTAATTTTATACTTGCTAGATGTCACTTATTAATATTGTGCTATATTTTCTGAAGAGTGGTATTTCCTGTCCTCAGATTATGATCACATTATCTCATATCTTAGTTATAGTCAGAAATTAGGAAATAGGTTTGGCTGCCTTAGAAATGATTATTCTGTAATTCATTTTCTGGAAGCATTTACATGTATATATAAAGCAAAGCAAATATGGTTAATGCCAGTTAGAAGTGCAGTGGGACAGCTTTTATTAAGATGGTTACATTTGATTGCATGAAGTATTAATATTTTTAGATGTCATTAAAAGAAGTTTTCAAACTTAAAAATTTTTATGAAAGAGATCAGTACAAAAAGTATGATGGCTTTTATTATTTTAATGTACCAGAATTCATTTAATTAATCACAATTGACTATCATTTTTATGTTACC